AAACTGTAATTTTAATTGTAAAAATTGTTTTAACTGTACTTAGTGCTTTATGGTTTTCTATATCTTTCAATTTATAATGTTTTTTTTTTTTTTTGGTTGCGAAGTGAGAATCGAATTAATTAGTAGTGCATGCCCATTAGATAAGCGACGCTGAATCATTTGTGAAAAACTGTTTCTTTTTTATTTGTTTAATTTCTTTTATACATCATTTTAGATTTATTGTAGTATTTAAATAGAACATGTGGTAATTCTTCAGACGATATAATTTCTGTGTATTCTGGTTATAAAATGAATGAGATGTAAGGCTGTTAATTAAATCTAGCACAAAAGTGCCACTATTGTAAATAAATATAGTGAACTTTAAAAAGTGCATTTATTCTATTGTGGTTTCTGCACTATTGACAAAGTAGATTTAATTCAAACTTTGTTAACTGTTAATTCAATATGTTTGAACGAAATGCAGAAAATTGCGTATAATTCAATACTCTGTACAAGGAAGTCATACGGTGTAAACATCAGATTTTTTATAAATAAAGTTCACAAGTAAAATAATTAACAAGTAAAAAAATATTTTTCCCAAAATTTTTTTTGCATCATAAAATTTGTATTTATAGTGAACTATACCCAACTGTGAGACTTCTGGTCAATTTTTTTTTATGCTTTTAATTATTTACTAAATTTTGAGCAAATCTGCACTATTTTGTAAGAAAATAATTACTCATCAGTTGATTTTTTTATTTTCTTATATCATAATTAAGGGCTTCCATCTCAATCATAACCAGGGACTGCAAGTTATCTCTATGGCATTGCACTTATCATTATTTTTATACACAAATGTAAATGAAAAAAAATCACATTAGCCATTTCTAGACATCTATCATCATTTGCACATGTTCTAAAGAATCTGGCAGGAAGATCTATTTGCTTTAAAACAGAAATAAAAAATTCAGCTTAAGTCCTGCTATAATTCTATATACCCTAAGTCTATATAGTACATACTTAAGTCTTACTACGTCTACAGAAACATAATTTCGTCAAGCTCCGATATGATAGATAAAAGGCCTAGAAAGTGATTAACAATTCCTTCCAGAGTTATGAAAGTTTACACAATAAGTAGAAGAAATACAGCAAAAAAACACATATCAGTAGATAAGAGACCTCTGAAAGTTTTTACTCATAATAGATCTCAAACATTAACTATAGATTTAGGAGCAGTAAGCCATTTTTTTCTTTGCACAGAAAACTAGTACAAATGTAGTGTATCTAACCCTCTCAGTGCTATGGATGTAAAATTTCATATCAAAGGGTAGCTTTCTGATTCATTACACATGAAAATTTCTGCCAGGTTTTAATGTATCCGATTTCGGATTGGATGCATATTGGAAGAAAAGGAATAAAGGTACAAAGTGAGAGGGTTTTTAATAATCAAGAAAGCACCACTTATTCAAGACATTCTGAGGAATTTTGAAATTTCAGGGCTAAACTTGTAACACTCAGAAGGCTAAACATGTTGCAAACAGCAGATAATGCCACTGTCGTAGGAACATAGTGAAGACTTTATTTTTCAACAATACGGGACTCGATACATTTTCATGAGGGCAGCCATGCTTAGCTTGGCAATGAATGGCTTATCCATGCTAATCTCAGCACCTGAAAACAATGCTTCTCAAGATAATTCTCCTTTTCTGCAACCTCCCTGATAACCTGGCATAACCCAATGTATTTGTAATGCATAACCAATGATAAGTATTGTTAGGGAATTGCAAGGTTTATTTTAGCTAACATAATATTTTAAAGTTCATTTGTCCCTGCAATGTCTATTTCTTCAGTTCTCAGAATATAAATTAGAAATTAAATGAGTAAATTTGTAGTTCATTGACTATTTTGAAAATATGCCAGAAAACAGGTTACTCTAAGTCTCCATCAGTTGACAAATTGGCTTCAGTGAATGATTTTCTGAATTTGTTAGCATTTGAATCAGAAGCAACAGAATAGCTGCATTTGGGTTGAAAACACATATATGGCATTGAAGATACAAATATGTTGTACATGTTTAAATACAGGTTGTAGAGACTTTTAATTTTTGGAAGCAGGAAAGATGAAAAATTAGCAACCACCTTCGCCGGAAATCGAACCATGGACATCTGGAATACCGGTCCAGCGTGCAGAACCACTACACCATGAAGGCACGCTAGGAAAGCGGGAGAGATACCTTAAGCACCCTTCCCATTGGGGTTTATCCGAGCTAACGGAGTCGGTTCCATGTGTCGAGTAGCTCCGTTGTGCCTGCAGTTCAGATTTTTCAACTTGCTGCCCTATGGGGAAATGGTTTTAGAGATGGGTCGACTATGTTAATTGTGTTCGTTAGTTCAGATAAACACCAGTGGGAATGGCCCTTTATATACTTCCCCTTTTTCAAGGGCAACTGCAGTTTTTAGGGGACCCAAAGGCCAAATCCTGGATGAGGAGAATCATCATCCACAACCCTTTTAGTTCGGGCACCACTGTAGAGACATTAGGTTAATTGGAAAAGCCAGAGAGATGAAAAATTAGCAAACGCCTTCGATGGGAATTGAACCACGGACCTCTGGAATACCGGCCCAGTGTGCAGAACCACTATACCACAAAGGCACACCAGGAAGATGGGAAAAATACCTTATATACCCCCTTTTTAAAGGGCAACTCAGGTTTTTAGGGGACCCAATCGTCAAATCCTTGGTGAGGAGAATCATCATCCACCACCCTTTTTAGTTTGGGCGTCACTGTAGTATCATTAGGTATTTTTTGGAAGCAGAAGAGATGAAAAATTAGCAACTGCCTTCGCCGGGAATTGAACCACGGACCTCTGGAATACCAGCCCAACATGCAGAACCACTACACCATGAAGGAACACTAGGAAAGTGGGAGAAATACCTTATAAAGTATTTGTTGTTATCATGCAAGTGGCTGGCTATGCATAAGTTCCATTAAATCTCAGCAATTGCAATGCATAGCTTTCAGTACACCTTTTAGGTAAGTTTTAACTCTTGTCATGTTCTTTAAATTTGTTAAATTTGAAAACAAGAATTTATTTGAAACATGTGAAAGTTGATCGTTTATTAGCAGTTAATCAGATTTAACATAAAAGGGTTATGTATCCATTTATTGGTTCTATAATAAGATAATACATTGATTTAGCATAAAAGTGAGGTGGTATCATGCATGCAGTTACTGGTATCAGTAACAACATTTTGAGTTGTATGTGGTAGGAAAATGAATTGAAGATAGATGTTCTGTCCCAACCCCAGGGATATTGAGCCCATGAGAGGTGCATACAGAATTTGGAATTTGGAAAGATTCTTTTTTACTAATATCCACCATTCTGCTGTATTTAATCATCTTTATATCTTCTATTATTTAGTAATGTACTACAAACTTTTAATTCAGAGATAAAAAACACAGCCTACAAGGAATTACAAATCATTTAATTTGTAATTCCATAATCATATCATCATATCATTAAAATTTGTATTTATAGTGAACTATACCCAACTGTGAGATTTCTTGTCAATTTTTATTTATGCTTTCAATTATTTGTTGAATTTTGAGCAAATTTGCACTATTTTCTAAGAAAATAATTACTCATTAGTTGATTTTTTAAATTTCCTTATAAACTTTTAATTCAGAGATAAAATACACGACCTACAAGGAATTACAAATCATCCTGTATACCACTGTAGTGTAACCAATAAGAAGCCCCACAGAAGCCAATTAAAAACATGATAAAAGCTGTGAATCACAGAAACTTTATACCCAATACATTGACTCAGCTGCAGGAAAAAGATTAATTAGTCAATTCAGTTTTACTTTAAACAGCTGCCATATATACTTTTGTATAACTGCTCCTAAGCATAAGTCAATGACACATTTTTCTGTATAATTTATGGAATTTTATAATGTCAGGCACATAAGTTGAAAGCAAAAACTCACACTACAGAGTGCCTATGTGAGCACTTGTCAAACATACAGGATAATAACCAAGCTATTGTCTATCTACCACTAGACCTGACTATCACCATAGAAATAGAGCCCAACTCATTTTTTGCAGAGGAGTCTGGAATAACTGGATGTTGCAAAGTAAAAACCATAACGAAATTTGGAGTTACTCACGCTACATCACTAGATACGTCCAAACTATTGTCTGTTTACTACAAGAATACCACTCGGCAGAAATTCCAGTTCTGTTTAAGGGAAAATAAGGACTTGCTCATTTTTCAAAGGATTGCCAGGAAAAAGTGGATAATATATTATGATTATAATATAATATTTAAAGCCAATTGAGCTTTATCACTAGATACCTTTCATCAATTTGCTTTAAATGGAAGGCTCAAAAATCAAAGTTGAAATTGTAACAAAATCATTTACATTGACATATGAGATGACAAACAGGAAAGCATGATGAAGAGGCGAAAATCCCTGTATCCCTATGGCGAAAAGGTAAATAGCAAGGATGAGGTTTAAAAATCAGAGGGAAAATATGATAAAAATTTAATATTATTATATATATATATATATATATATTTGGTTTGCCTTTTTAAATAACCTTTTTTTGTTTGTTGGTAATATAAAGTTTATACGCCATTTGTTCACTAAAATAAAATTCACTGGTGACAAAAATAACATTTTTAAACCTAATATTTAGTTTTAAAGAAATTACATTGGTAGCTACAGTAAGAATAACAGTTACCTAAATAACCTAGGTACCTATAAAAAAAATTAAGTGCTATAATTTTGAATAAATAACCTAGGAACCTATAATATAATAAGAAAATTAAGTGCTATAATTTTGAACAAATATTTAAGTCAAAGTTTGATTTTATGGCAATTTTTGGGGGGTTTAAAAGTTACAAACAAGCATACACAATATTTTATATTTAAGTAAAAGGTGAAGTACAAATCATAAACAGAGAAAATAAAATAAGAAAAATACAGATGCTACACTAAAAGAGAAAAATATGAACCTAATTTGACGACAAACATGAGGTTCAATGAGACGATCATATGCATCTGATACACAGATTTGTAAGAAATCATATGTTGCTTTATCCATATGTTTTCTATTAAAAAAAGTATTCCAAATAAAACTGGTGATTGTTTTTTTGACTCCTTCAGGAATTTGAATTTTCACCTTCAAAACTTTCTGTTTCTCTCCCCGATTTAAGGCCATGACCTGTGAAAAATAATTTATAATATAGTAAAAGAACATACTTAATTTACAAAATTTTAAAATTATATTAATTTTGCCACATTATGAATAATAAATAGAATAAATCAAAGGGAATTATTAAAAAAATATTTACTGGATGTATTTCAGTGTTTAATGTTAACTCTTTATTATTATTATTATTATTATTATTAAATCACAGTCCCCCCCCTAAGAATAGTACTGAATTTAAGTGATGTGTCTCCGAACAGAAGAAAATGATAATGTTATTATTATTTCATTATTACATTGGAAATTCAATTATCCAAATCACTAGTTTTTCTTTCTAACCAAGAAAAATTCAGCTTATTGTTAGTTTATGTGCATGCATTTTTAATTTTTTCTTGCAAGTCAATTAAAACTTAGCTTATTGCTGACTTGTTAATATAATACAAAAGTTTATTATTATTATTTTACGTCAATTTGTATTATTTACTTGTAGATTTAATTTACATCAATATAAAAATAATAAGCTCACTCAATTTTAGTTGGCTAGAAATAGGTCCCTAATTTTGTTCTATTAAAAAAAATAGTATAGACAAAATAAGGAACTCTTACTAAAGAAGCTTTAATTTATTATAGAAAACCGACAGAACAGAGTATGCACTGTAATTAATAAAGAATAAAAATATATTTTATTTATTAGGAAAATGCTTCAAATGTCCAAAAATGTCCGATTAAATATATATAAGAAATTACAAAGATTTTAACTTATATTAATTACATATATTATAAATAATAAATAAGGCTTCAAATTACTAAGGAACATGCTTATTGCTTTTAAATCATCCAGTCTTAAGCAATTAGAGGCTAATTAAATTTGGAGAATAAATTAAGCACCTTATGTTTTACCAAACTGGTAACTATGAAAAAATGGCACAAAAAATGGTACAAATGGCACAAAATTCAAATCTTGCATGAATTCTGGGACTAACTATATTTTTAATAATTATATTTTTATAACTCTATTTTTGCTTATTTATACTTGCTTCTTTTGGTAACTGATTTTGCAGCAGTGTGGAAGGTAAATTAAAGACCTATGTTTCATTCAATGGTTAGGATAATTCAAATTCTATTGCACATTAACTTTACAAATGCACAAGCCAGGCTAATATACATCAAAACATACTGACCTGATGAGGTGCAACATTGCTCAGAAGAATATTCAGATCAAAATAATTTTCATATTTAAAATTCTGAGTTTTTCCTCCTACAATACAGGCTTGCCGATCTTCTTTTTCAGCACTTGCTGTTTTTGAGCTGATGATACGAATTTGTTTATTCTGACTCCTGAAACAGAATATTAATATAAAACTTCTAAAAGCATTAAGCTCATTAAATACCAAAACTAACTTTGGAGATATGGAACAACAATATAAAGGGTGATCCAAAATTCCTACAAGATGTAATTTTGATATAAAACACTTTATAATTAAAAATTGTAAATTTTTAATTGATTCATCATAAAGTATACAGTATAGGATTATGTATAGAATTACATATCAGGTAAATGGCCTTCACGGCTTTGCTGGCACATACACACTCTTTTGTTGAAATTTTCCATGACCATTTTGCATAAAGAGAGATAAATTTCATAGATACAGTGCTCAATTTTCCTCCTTCAAAGTGTAGGAGGTCATGGGTCATGGCGATCAGACAAAAAAAAAAAGTCAAATGGTGTTAAATAGCATGCTCTAGGTCAGCATTTCCCAAACGTTTTTGACCACAGCCTGGTACGAGATTTTAAATTTTTTTCGAGACCCCCCTTATAAAAAATTCCTTTTGACAGCGCAACCAAAAATTAATTAGTGGTGCAGTTTCAAACACCCTTTTAAGATCGTTGTTGCATGAAATTTCAACTAAATTATCAATTTCTTGTTCACTAAGATTAAGCATTTCTTCCTTTTCAATACCGACAGAAAATGGATCTTTAATCCACATATTATTTGAAGGAGTATCCGGAAAGTAGTCTTTAAAACTATTTATTAGCTCCATGAATTGAAACTGATAGTGTTTCAAGATGTAAATCTTATTCATCGTAGTTTGAATGGGTTTCAATAAATTTATGTTTCAAAAGATTGATTTAAAATTTCCTTTTGAAAGTCGTTTTTTCCACAGAGTCATTTTTTTAATTATTGCAGCAAATTTTTCCAATACTTTGAAAATATTTAAACCAAAGCCTTGCAAATGAAATTCAATTCATTGAATGTACCAAATATATCGCACAAATAAGCTACTTTTATTAACCACTCGAAATCGTGGAATCTGTCCTTAAATGCAAAAATAGAATCTTTTTTTTTAGATGATGGGTGTTTAGTCAGAAATACCAAGGCTTCGTCTTTTAGCTCAAATAGATGTTTTAAAACATTTCCTTTTGAAAGCCATCGTGAATTACAATACAAAAAGAGGTGTTTATGATCACACCCCATTTCCTTGCATAATTCGATAAAAAGGTCTGCTATTTAATGGACGAGACTTTATATAGTTTACAAACTCGACACATTCTTCCAAAGTCATGTTTAAATTTAAAGGCATTCGTTTTACCGCCAACGCTTTTTTATGGATACTACAGTGCACCCATACACAATTAATTGCTCATTCTTGAATTTGTTTAAACAAACCTTTATGACAGCCTGCCATTGCACGTGCTCCATCGCTACTTAGCCCAACACACTTCGCCCAATCAATACCGTGACTAGTGACAAAAACATTGGTAGCCTTAAAAATTTCATCTGAGATCGTTCTTGTTGATAGCCTTTTACAAAACAAAAAAAATTTTTGTATGGTGTCTTCGTCCATATATCTGATAAAAAACATTAGATTTGCATTATCCTCGATATCTGTGCTTTCATCTATTTGCAAGGTAAAAAACTTGCTCCTTTTTACTTGAGCAACTAGTTCTTCTAAATGTTTCATTTAGAAGTTCAATTCTCCATTTAACTGTACTATTTGATAATGGTATCGCCAAAAATAAACATTTTCCCTTTATTCCGCATAAATTATTTGCAACAATTTTCAAAGCGGGAAGTATTAATTTTTCTCCAGCACTATGAGGATACCCAATTTCAGCTATTAATTTGGAAATTTCAAAAGACGTCAAAGTGAAGTTTTTATTTGACTGGTGTGGTAAGAGTGTTTTTTTTTTTGGGGGGGGAGGAGCAGCAATCAATTCATTTTTCTTATCAGTAAAAAAGTTAGTTAATTGGCTTATCAGAGTACTCAGAATGGATTGTGTTTAAATGCCATTTCAACTCTGAAGGTTTCATCCATTCATTTGAAAGTTGCTCATTGCAAATAACACATAGAGGCAAATTATTTTGACTGCTGCCGGCATTGAATCCAAAGCGTAAATATTCGTCACAATAGTTGCGAGTCCAAGTAGCTTTATGCTTGTTATTTTGTCGCTGTATATCTGCTTTAGGTGCTTCAGGCACAGTTTTTTCATGATCATGATGTTCAGCTTTGCTCGTGCTTGGTTGATCATCCTCATTAAACCTGTGGTTTTCTTGATTAGTCATTTATTCATTTTAAAAAAAAGGTTGAAAGCTTTAATAAAAAGAATTTGTTTATTAGTGATTGTTAAGAAAAAGTATTTTTATTACTTACCAATATGAAGTTCCTATTAATAATAGGTAATAATAACTATTGTCAAATAAAATAGGTAAAAAAAATTCAAACATAACCTTGTTTTGATACACGTGAGTTTACGGATCATGTATCAGAGAAGGCACTGAATGACGAATCAAAATCAGCGCATCAGAACATCTGAATTTAAACGGTCCGGTAGGAAATGGAGGTAAAAAGGGTTGCCACCTGCAGTACTTGTAAAAGTTTCAAAAAATATTAAATTTAGAGCAAAATGTTATAGATGTTTTGTGTTTTTACAAATTTTGCCACGACCCAGCTGAATTTTTGTGCGACCCCTTGGCGGGTCGCGACCGACACTTTGGAAAACGCTGCTCTAGGTGACTTATTTTGATCAAAAAATGGAAAACTAGATGACCAGGAAATGACTTGTGCAGTAATTGAATGATTCAATTCCTCAGATTGTATGTCAGGTGGCACTATCTTGTTGAAACCACATTCATCCACATCTATATTTTGCAATTTAGGCATAAAAAACTAGATTATTTTTCCATAGTGAGCACAACTAACCATTATTGCCTGACCAACCACACTTTTGAAGAAGAATGATCAGATGATGCCTCTAGCCCAAAATCTGCACCAAACAGTGACATGTTACGGATTTACTTGTTTCTCAACAATCACTCTTGGATTTTCTGAACCCCAAATGCAACAATTTTATTGATTAACTAAGCCTTCAAGATGAAAATGAGCCTCATCGCGTAAGATGATTTTGTCCGAAAAATCAGCATTCCACTTGTGTAAATTGAACTTTGTACACATGAACATGCAAATCTTTTATAAGAATACGCTGTAAAGAGCTTCTCAAAATGTCCAATTCTTGACCATCAGATGGTGCCGAATTAATGTCCCTGGACTCTCAGCAACACAAACTCTTTCACAGACTGCTTCAATGTTTTGTTGAAGGCTAGCCAGAGTGTTTAATATAACTACTGATCCAGTCCCTAAAAAGTTCTTAATTATTTTACAGTTACTGACGATAAATCATTATTCCAACTATATTTTGTATAAAAATTGTGAACTGCAGCAGCCAAACCTTCATTATTTTTTAATATTGCTTGCATTGCATCATAGAAAAAGCATTGTTCTTGTTTTGTAGTACTCTATTTTTAATAACCCTCAATTGTCACACGTTTTTCATTGGTAACATTATATAACACAAATGGCACAAAATTCAAATCTTGCATGAATTCTGGGACTAACTATATTTTTAATAATTATATTTTTATAACTCTATTTTTAATTACTAAAGGCTTGTTAATCAATAATATGGCTGCTATATATTAGGGTTACAGTTTGAATACTTTTAACAGAATTCTATCAAAATTTTTATGTTGTGCTACCACATATGTGTAATGCAAATTAGCAATTGTTGCCATCATAAAAGAGAAGATTTTTAATTTGCATTTTCATACAATCCTGTTAACTAACAGTCAATTTTAGTATTGCCATTCAGTTATCTTTTAAATGATAACATCTCGAGAAGCTGAATAATTTAAAAGCAATAATTCCATATTAACCCTCTCAGCAGCATGGTTTTTTGGATCATCATGAAGATCTGTATTTAAACAGCCTTTATTAGCTAAATTTGTATATTTACTTATTTTATCTCTATTTTCATTAACTTACATTCATTAAGATGACATTTATATCATTAAAAAAAGTAAGAAGGCAAAACATCTTAAACTATAAGATAATACACAGCAAATGACAAAAATAATCTTACGATCAGATAAAGCTGGTCATGGCATTCAGAGGTTAACATGCAATTTTTAAATGAATCTGGGTTATTCAAAAGTTATATGTAATTTATAACAGCAAATGATTCTGCCCTATGTGTGTCATAAAATAATCTAGTAATTAAAAAATTTTGAAAATTTACACTTCTAACGCCATTATATCCAACTCATCATTTTTATGAATATTTATAGCATTACTGTAATATATACAAATTATTTTTAATGCCTCATGTTATATATCTTGGGAGATAATCAATTGTTTTTTAAAAATACTCTTAAAATAAAGATGCCATTTTAGAAGTTATATTTATGTGTGCGTTACTTCATTATAATTCTAAAGTTTCGTTCCTTCAGAATTCCACTGCAAAAGAGGCAAGAAAAATTGGCCGAAGGCAAGTAAAATCTGCTATATATCTAGTCTCTGAAAGAAATATATGTCATATATCTGGAAAAGGAATCAATATCTTTTTTTTAAGTGTAATAAATTTGTAGCATTGTTTCACCATATTGAATATGACATAAAAATTTCTATAGCAAGGAGTGGGTATAAAGCCTGTAAAACAACTTTCCCTGCATATACACTACATTTGCAGAAAAGATTGTTTTACGGGCTAGGATTCTAAGCTCTTGCACAAACGTTTCCAACTTTGGATATACAGGTAATAGAATTAGTTTCTAAACAATATAAAATCTTTCTAAACATAAATTCTGTAACATTCAACAGTATTGTTATCTTTTGTATTATGTCTCGGAAATTAGTTTTCTCTTTTTCAAAAAGTTTATCAGTTGCTCATTCACTAATTATTTATACCTCCATAGGGGTTCTCAACCCTTTTTTGCAACATACACCCCTTTCATCACTGCTAGACGATCTAATATATGAATTCTAGTATAACTGCATAATGATGAATATCTATTATATCTACGTATCAATGTATATTTTAAGACCACTAGATGGTGTAAATGAAAAGTGTTTTAGGTTCAACTTCTTATCTGCCTTTCTCAGGGGTGATTTATTTATATTGGAGCAAATTTATGCTCAAGTACTTTTCAATGCAAAATAGAATAAGCCTAGCCATCATAACATATTTCAAAACATTCTGTACATAATAAAAGTATTTATGCTCAAATGTATTTATTTCCAGGTTCTGGGCAGTAAAAGGTTTCCAAAAAAACATGAAAAAATTTACACACACACACAAAAAGGGGGGGGGAGAATTGGACAAATGTACCAATTTAAAGAAAAACCAATCATTTTCCACTCTAAATACAGCAACAGCTTTTTCTGAGGCTATATGACGCCTTTTGGGGGGGGGTAACTTGGGAGTAATACTTAACCTTTATAAATACTAATGTTTTATAAATACATATATATATATGCTTAAGGGTTAAGGGAATTTCAAATGAACACAGTACACACAGAACTCACAAATAAAATAAATTTCCAGTGCCATTACTAAAACAGAAACTTCATGATGAACCTATGCAAAATTTTAATCTACTAGCAGCTGTAGAAGAAATAATAATTAAGCAATTCACACCTTCAAGAGCTCTTAATATTTTTTATTAAAAATAAAATGCTACATCTTCCAAATGAAGATCAGAGAACATTGTGCCAATTACTTTCAGTATTACAAAAATGAGTTGCATGTCCTACAGTAATTCATTCAGAAAGTGATTTTATTTGAATTTTCTGAATAACATTTCATAAATAGTGTTATTTTAAAACATTAGTATGGATACAGCTTTCTAATACCCTATCACAATGCTCTTCTAAAAAGACCTACATCTGCATCAGTTAGAAATATTGTTAAAAATAAACTAATTCCACAAAGTTTATCTGAAATTCATACAAAAGCTTCAAGTACAGTCAAAAATTATATAGACATGTACTCATAAATGAATGTTTTGAGACTTAACACTTCTGATAATGTTTCAAAATATAAACTAATTTTACATTTTACCATTTTGACTGTAATACTTTTTTTTTTTTTTTTGTTTCATAAAATTTTCATTAGAATAGTATTTTATTACAATAAAATACTAGGGCATAAACAGAAGAAATTTACACTTACATTTGCCTCACAAAATCGAGTACTCTTCTGTCTTTTGCTATTACATCGGCTATTATATGCTGAATGCCGGTTTGAATTTCTTTTTCAGTTTCTAAACCTGTAATAGAAAAGAGAATAAAATTCTAGTGACTTGCAAATGACTTTTGAACACTAATTAGGTATCACATTTTTTTAATGTAGTAGGTAATTTTCAATCCCATATTTTAATTCAAGAAAAGCCATAAAGTACATTTTTAGATTAACTGGCACATTATTATGCCTTTCTGGCATACTTTATGCACATTCAAATATTTTTCCATGGTATCTGCCTGGTTAAAAATAAAATGGCAACAAGTGAAGTGAAGAAATGGATTGATCTAAGTATACAATACTATGAAAAAACAGTATTGCTAAAGATTTATTTAAAGTATGTGTGTGAGAAATTACTTGCAAAGTTTTTTAAAAAACTGTAACACTTTTACTCAAATTTTACAACAATCCCTAAGCCATTGCCTTTAACTGTTTATAAATGAATTAATTTTTAACAAATAAAGGACTTTTGCTTTGATGATTTCCCAAAAGGGTAAATATAATTCAGCACAGAACATGCAGTAAATTTGTTTTCATAGTGGAAATTCTGTTGCAAAAATACTTGGCTAAGTTGCAGAAAACCTTTAAAAACAACACTTATCTAAAATAAGAGTTTTTAAGCGGTATACAATATTTAAGGAAGGTAGAATATGTATCGATGAAGTATGCTCAGAAAATCATCCAGTTAAATTAATGAGCAACATGTCGATCAACTGAAATGTTTGATGCTTGGAAATCACTGTTCAACACTTAAGGATATTAATGAACAAGTTCCTATATCATTTAGATCCTGTCAAGTAATTTTGAAAGATTTCTTGGGCTTGTTGTACAATGCTTCTAAAGTGTTCCAAAATAAAAATGTGTTCAAATGGCTTAGACTCACAATAAGTCCTTCTTAAAATGCATTACTACTAATTACAGTATAAGGATCTACAATTTTTAAACAGAATTCAATAGACAAACGAATAATGTTAAAAAAATGAAGCAAGACCAAAAATAAAATGTCAAAGATCAAAATATTATTGAGCATTTCACTGTTATGGTGATGCTGATCAGGAAGTTTTACCAGTTGGCCATACTATTACTAAAGAATATTGTATTCTGCAGTGTTTGTGTGAAATAATTAATAAAAAAATTACCAAAATTTCAGGGAGATAACTCAGGAATTTTGCTAATTTTGTAATAGTCATTTACTCATTGTGCTTTTGCTGTTCATTAATTTTAGGCTACAATTTCAACAACTATGATTATGGAACCTAAGTATTCATTAGATATGGCAATGTGTGACTTTTTCTTATTTCTGTGGCTAAAATCACCATTTAATAGTCATCATCTGGAATCTAGTGATCCAATAAAAGAAAATTTGATGCAAGTTATGAAGAGATTTCATGAAAACTGCTTTAAAACATGTTTCAAAAATTGTAAAAAAACTATGGCATAAGCCCACTGCAGTTGGGATTACTTTAAAGGGGATTTAATAAATATTGACTGTAAATTTAAATTTTGTGTTTCATGGAATCACTTCAAATAATGATTATTAGCAACAGTATACCCAGGCAGCACGTCTCCAAAAATATACATATAATTTTGGTGAAATAAAGGTATGGTATTTTTTGCACGTTACTTTTACGAAATTTATGCGAATAAAAAAAGCTGAAGTTACTGTTGAATCTTTATCGTTATTTTTCACGTGTTATTTTATGAAAATTATACGAATCCGAATGTACTGAAAGAAACTACTGCCTTTATGGTATATTTCATTCGTCACTTTTACGGATATTATACGAAGTCTAAAAAGACTGAAAATGAAGTTTATTAATTCAAAATATTTAATGTATTTCTGGCATTTCACTTTGTTTTCCTTTTTCCACGAACATGAAAAAAGGGTATGCAAATATTTTTTTCCAACAGCATTTTAATGTGTAATCAAAATTATTTCTGTTTTTAAATCGTCTTCATGTTTACAATTGATTTTCCTCTGGTTAAAAGCTTCTATGAATTTGAAAACAATCGTGATATTTTATATAAATTTAAATTACTTTAATCATTATTCTAGCATTCATATATGAGGCTAAAATTTTTCTATGAATTTTAACATGTGAACTAAATTTTGATGTGCATTTTCGCAAAAAAAATATGCAAGTATTTTCTTAATTTAAAGATCTTCAAAATAACACATTTATTTTCTGATATCAAATTTTTTATTTTTATTCATATCAACACTTACATTAACTTACACAATTTCTTTTATGAAAATCCTATTACCCATTTAACTGGAATAAGCTGTATATTAAATTTGTGTACTTACTGAGTTTGGCACAATACTCGCCTTATTTTATTTAGCAAATGTGGGCAATTAAATTGGAACAAGACATGAATCTTTCATGTCGAGGAATAAAATAATAAATAGAACAGAAGATGCTCGAAAATGTTTAATTTCTTGAACATAGTTTAATGTAGACCAAAGGGTAATTAATTATAATCAAAGATATACTAATATTTTTATTTAATATAATAATAATAATAACTCTACAAAATTGCAAGCTGAATCCTGATATTTTACATATATTTCAGTTCCTTTAATCTTTGTTATAAAATCACATGAGGCTAAAATTCTTTAATTTTGTTTAATGTACGGAAAAAAATATAGCGATTTTAATAATTTTTATATGAGGAAAAAATAAATAAATAAATTATATTATTATATTTTTCCTGAAACAGTTAAAGACATTCTTAATATGGACATCTACAGAATAAGTACAAAGGTCCAGTTAAATGAACTCAAAATTTACATGGTTAATGTTACACTAACTCAAAAATTAACCGGATTTACGATTATACACTGAGCATGTGCATACACAGACATTTCTATTTTTCCTAGAAATATTTAATTATTACTTTAATATAGAGATGCTGCGAATGGATATAAATTTATATAATTTAAAAATAAGTTTACTTCATATGCTAATTTAGAGGCTTTCTTAATATGTTTAATTATAAAGAAAAAAAAAAAAGCATTGCAATTCTTGTTCACTGACCAATGGCAAAGCAGACACTTTCTACTTCCAGTTGTGGCAGGATATTTGTGAAGTCGAAGTCAGCAATGGCGGTCGAAAAGAATGTTCATGGACTGGCATTTGTGACTGAATCCATCGATGTTACTAATTATTTGAAGAAAGTAAGTGAACATTTTATATTTTCAGTGGTTAATAGTCGTACTTTCTTCACCTATGTAAAATTTTATAAATAGCATCTTGTAGGAAGTGATTTTCCATGTATTGTTCTTTTGTGCATGTGCCTAATGATTCATTTTCAGGATTTGGTACTGTTAATGACATAGAATACCAAATCAATAAAATTTAGTCTGTTTCTTACTGTTTGTGTCACTCCTGTTTGTATATGTCTCACCTTTTTATAGTTATATTATTTTTACTCAAACGTTTTAATATTTATCTTAAAGCATACTGTAATTAAGCAGGAAATAGCTTTTAATGGAAAAAGAAAGGCAATATTAACATGATTAATTGTTCAGAAATCTGTTCTGGAAATATTATCTACCTTATGCCAAAAAATAAAGCATGTAACTTTCATTTATTTATGAAATTCAAAATTTTTTATTTGCTTAGTGTTTTCCCTAAAAATAATTTAATTTCTTATTTTTGAATTTAGTTTTATAAATTTGCTTTAATATATAATCTTTAACTCAAAGATATTGTGCTATTAAAAAAGGAAATTGTATGCGGGAGAAACACGGCTACTTTGTTCATTTTATTTTATATATACTGAATTTCCATGCACTTGTAATTACTGAAATATATAAAGTTTTCTTTAAGTCCTTTCATGAATGCATTTCTTTTTTGTTTGTTTGATTATGTTGTTTTAAAAGATCTGCCATAATTAAAGAAAGAAAATAAATTAAAGTAAGAATGCTTTACTTTCAGTTTTGAATAAATTTATTACTACTTACTGCAGCTTTAAGTTTCTCTAAACATAATTTTCGATGTCAAAACTTGATAGTTATGTCAATTATTAGAACTGCATGAAAATATTTATTGAAAAGTTAGTATTTGATCCAAAATACCTTAAATTATTTGAATTATATTTTACTAAATCATGTATTTTGATATAACTAGATAGTTAAAAAAATGAAAATTGTAAATGTGCAGAAATGCTTATATAAAACCAAGAAATTGTTTATATTTTTGTTGCTTTTTCCCTTGTAAATTAAATAATATATATATATTACAGTCTGGGGAGTCAGCACCCTGCTGAATTGTAGTAAACGAGACGTCCAATCTACTAGACCATCAAAGACACAGATTTGGATTTTCTATTTCATAGTTATTGAAATCATAATGGTATGTTTGTTTAAATTAGTACTGTTTATGAATGTGACAAAAAAATAAATTCTGATAAGCTAAGAAATGATTTATTTTCTATTAATTATGAACTGTAAATAATGTAACCAATTTTCTTCATAGTATTTACTAAACATTTTTTTTAAAAAAAGGGAGGTAGTCTTATTTATACAATTCTTGCCTAGTGAGATACCAAGAAATAAAACATTTCAGGAATTTTCACTCAGTATATCTTGATGTGTAAAATCATGTTGTTGAACGCCATATTACTTTTTCACAGGAAAGTAATTTTATTGATCTAACATCTGCATAAATCAAACTTTTTTAAGAATGATTACAGTTTCTAAGCTAACTTAAAATTTTTCACATTTAGAAAAATATGTTTAATGTAGCATTAGTTTTCCATGGAATAGAAAAGGTTTTAAAAATGTTCAGTTGTTAAGAGGGAAATAATATAAAAGAGATTGTCCTGATATAGTTTCAGCTGGAAATGAAACTGAACTTTCGGATAGTGAAGATGAAATTCTCTGCATTTAAGAATTCTAATAAAACTGATTAATGAAAATCCTATGATTCATGTAGATATTCTTCTGTCATCAAGACCAGATTCAGAAATGTGTGTCTATATGCATGCATTTTTAAATATAGGTGCTCATGTGTGCATGTGTTTTTTTTTTATGTATGTATGTGTATACTCATACACATATATGCACGTACATGCATATACACGTGCTTGCATATCTATAGTGGAATCTTGAGATATGAGTTTAATTCGTTTCAGCATTCAACTGATATAGCGAATTTCTCGTATTCAGAAACAAGCTTCCCCATTGAAAATATTGGACATCCATTTAACTCGTTCCACACCCCAAAAATATCAACATTTCAATATCAAGTCAATTTTCCCTAATAAATAACACTGGTAAATAATATAACCATAGTTTAACTTTCTGTCACCGACCTTTTAACTTCTTCTCGTTAATCCACACCAACAGCAGCTTCTGAACATTCGGGAGTTTTTTATGGTGCTTGGAAGCAACGGTAACTCCTTAGGCTACATCAAGTTTCTTAATTTCTTCCTGCTTCTTCAGAATAGTGTTGATTATTTTTAATGTCGAAAGGCTGCAAGTCTTCACCAATTCCGTCACCATGCTTATGTTTATCTATGATTTCTTTCTTAATATCGACGGCCACGGCCTCCTTATTTTTCTTTGCAGCACTATCTGAGGCAACAATTTTCTTGGAAGGCATCTTGAAATAATTATTTTTAGGTTAAATGTCAAAACAATAAACTTACAAGTGCACAAACACATATATAAAAGAACACTGAGTAATCTGACGAGGGGATTCTAAGCTAACTTGAATTGAGCCGAGTTGAGCAGGATAGGAAAATGGCACCACCCATATCAACAGCTTGGCTCATTAAAATGTTTTTCTAGTGAATGAAGTACGGCCACTAAGTCATGTTGGATATGTTGCAAGCTAATTTTCTATTCTACATTAACTCAATTAATCTTTATGTCCTGTTACAGATATATTGGCAGAAACAATGAACACCTGACATTCGAGAAGAAAAATAATAATGTTGAATGTAATATATTAGATGGTTAACTGCAGTTTGGCAGCTCATTAATAATCTTGCACATATTGATTATGAATAATTTTGACAATTATCGATATTCTCAATAGTATAAAATTAGGCAAGCAGCAGCTTTAGTTTAGCACCCATTTTAAATACAACTCTCTTAATTTCGCACACACTCTGTATTAGAAGGCTCACCAACAGCCCAGCTCAACACTGGTAGTTCAGTCCGAGGTTTGAATCCCGCGAACAGGCTGCCTGCATAGGCGTTTTTGTTGTTTTCCCCATGCGTAACGTACGAGCCAGTTTCCCTTAGAAAGTCCTTCATGAAGGAATCCCTTACCTTAGGCAGATAGCCCTATTCTTCTTTGTCATAATCAAATAAACCTAAACCAAACCTGTTACAAATGTATTTTTATGTTACTAAAATAGTAAAATTTAACTTACTAAAATAGTAAAATTAATTGTAAAATGACAATAAACTGGATGGCACAAACAGCCCTCAGAGGGCCATGGCCGGCAGTGCCTTAATATCTGCTTTCTAGACAGTGAACTCCGTGGTGTTTGTGCATAAGAAGTCAGCTTGTTGCTGCCCCCCCCCTCAGTGTTTAGTCCCCGATGGAACTTGGTACTAATTTTATCGACCCACTCAACCTTGCCCAGCCTGGGAATCGAACACCAGACCTGTAGTGCTGCTGCGTGACGCACTAGCCACTGTGCTACCGAGCCTTCCTAAAATAGTAAATTTATGAAAATTATAAGAAAAATGCAAAATATTTAGATACTTTTCCGTTTCACTGGCACAAATCATGCCAAGCAGACGTTATTGTCGACAACACACAGTATACACATAAAAAATTTTAACAAATGTTAGTTCTAAGAAATTTTTATTTTAAAGGCATAAACATTTTAATATCATTTAAAATTTTGTAAAAAGACAATAAATAAAGACAATTAATTTGTAAAAAGAGATTAAGAATTTTCTGTGCTTTCATGGTACAACATCCTGATTCACCGTTTCATATCACATGACCCTAAGTGATCTCATCTCATGTAAACTACGCTAATTCTCTCAGTAATTATCTACATTAATTTCAAGTTAAATCTTAATTTGGAATACAAGTTTAAATGCAAGAATTATTTCATTTCGTACTCAGAAATTATGTAAAACTGCAGTGCTTTACTTCGCTAGTGCATTCTCATTAAAATTGATGAATTTAACCCTTGACTTTGCCTTTTCTATATTTTCAGGGAAGCGGTGTGATTGCATCCTAATTGATTTAATTACTGCGAATGGCCTTAGGACATAAAATTAAACTATCTGGTAAAAATTATATTTAATTGTATGCCAGTATTGAAAGAAACATTCAAACTTGATAGAAATGGCTGCGATTTGTTTTGAAAATGAGACGTAAAAGGTTACTAGCGAGGATATTCCATTTGGCATCGGTTGTTCCATTTTGGGCGACTTTATCACTTGCGCTGGCAAAATGGAAAAGTACCAATATTAGTTGGCAAAGGTAAGGTCTAATTGAATTTAATAAGTTGGAAATACTGTCTTTCTTTCCACGAGTTAAAAAATAATTTCATATAAAATTTCTTTTTTCAGTTTTTCATGTTATTTGTTTAATGTTACTGTAATCTGATTTATCATATTTAGTCACATATTTCATCCCTCTTTGCACTATAGTATATATTTCAAAGGACTTATCAGTTTCAGCAGTATTCTTTTTACCAGTATACAATTTTACCATAAGTCTGTTTCTAAATCATATCCTGAAAAATTAAGGAGTAAAGTACACAAAGAAGGAAAATATGCAAGTAAATAATGGCATTTAGTGTTGTTTATGTGTCTAATATTTGTACTAGATTGTAAAAGTTATAAAATTCTATTAGCTTATATTCTTTTTTAAATTGAGATGCTTCTTTGCTTTGCACCCAAATGGTTAAAGCCTTCCAGAACTGGTACTTTGATCTAACTTCTATTCCTAATAAATAATCCAGCTGCATACAGTTTACTCAATTTCTGCCATGTGTAAGGTAAACAGTATTAGCTTTTTTTTAAATATATCTTTTACAACTATTCCATCAGGTAGATTTCTTTCATATTTTGCCTTAATTGAGTCATCCTGCTAATTAAGAATTTATTAAAGTTAATATGTTAAGTTTTTGTGTGTATAATTCATTTTAAGTATGTGCAAGCAAATGCATACATTAACAGTTACGTAGAATTATGTTTTGGGTATCAAATTCAGAAATTTTGGGGCTGTTTTTAGAAGATTTATTAATGATTTATACTATATTAATATTGGTAAAAAAATTCTGTGGCTTTTATATGAGAGTATATATTTTAAAATAGCTGCATGATATGGTAGAGGTAAAAAGCTTCATGTGGATCATAAATTAATATTATGTGGAAATTTTTCATTTATTTAATAAAGAAAATATTCAAGCCACAATTAAAATTTTTTCACTGGATTATTTGCATACAAAGTTTGCAGCAAATATTTCCTGCAACAGAAGTGACAATTTTTATTTTGCCAAGACAGGAAATTTAGTTAGTGAAAGCAGTAACCCTATTTTGAAAAATTTTTGAATTTAAATTGATTTTTGAAGGAAGACTTCATTTAGTCTATCATTCTACGGCTTTTAACTTTTTTATGGTATTTATAATTTTATTGTTATTCAGCTTTCTGTTTGCTTGTTTGCTGAGAATGCACATGAATGTAGACTTGAAATATTTTATATTGCAAACTGAGATGCGATTGTTATCATAATTAAAGATTTATGTTCTGATTCTGGAGGAATTTACTGATAATACTTTTGATTGTGTATTGGTTTCTGGTTTATTGAAATGTGTAAAATAGCCTGTTAATGCATATACGTATGTTAATGACATGTATATGTTTATGAAGTATTCTGTTATATGTATATGGTGTTGTGATTGGTTTTCTGCTTACTCTTTATTTAAGAAAAAGTTATCTGTAAGAAAGCGAATATTCTTTACTATATGTAGGAGTAAAATTGGAAAGGCTAATGCTAATGCATATATTTAATACAAAATTAAGTTTTTTCTCATGTACTTAAATACAAACATAGCCATTAAAGACTTTCTCAACCTTGCAGTTCTAAACAAAAATCTTTAGGTATTTTTTACTTGAAATTATAGGCATTGTGTAAGGTATATAATTGAAGTTTACTGTGTGTGATAGTATGAACTTAAATTTTTAATTACTGAAATGTAAATTTTTAAATATGAAATACTCTGTGCATTTTATATGCATCTTTTAATACTTCAACTATATTTAAAAACTGAAAACATCTGAAGTGTGAAATTATTACAAATTTTTTTTTTTTCTTGTTTAGGAGCTGTTCTCAAAACATTGGGTGACAAAGAATTCACTTTTACAAAAATCGAGCAGGATATTAAAGACAGCGAACTATAGAACAAATATGGCGAAGCTGAATGAAATCTATGTTGAATTTTATTATTGAAAAAAATTATGCTCTTCAGATTTAATGTTAGTTTTTATTGTTTAACAGTAATTGCAGTTTTCGAATACCTGTAAAATAAACCTAATTCTTAAATTAATTTCATGTGTATTTCTTTTGCAAGTATTACAGTTCATAATACTTCAAACAACTTGAAATTTTATACTTGTTAATTTATGTGGGATATGTTCATAATAATTTTATAATTTAAATAACTCATTGTCATCATATATGAGCATAATCTAAAATGCACAGCATTTGACAACAATTTAATAAAAAATTAGCCAACTTCTAATTGCTTTCTTTTTTGTCCAGTTGCCTCTTTTTAAATCATTTAATACCATAAAGCTATTTGATGAAAAAAAAATTGGTATGTCCACATCAACATGTACATTTATAATGATGTTTAGAGAAAAGTCACATGAGATAAATATTAAAAACTTCAATATTCCTAAACAAATTAACTTTTTAAAATTTTATCTGGTATATAAAATAAAGAACATATTTAGGTAATTTTGAATTTGCATAATTTTATGAACTTATTTATGAAATTAACAGTTACATTGTAAAAGGGAACTTTTTAAAAATGCCTCAATAAAGTATTTCTTTTGTAGAGGTGAACTTTTAGTACTGATCTAATATATTTATAAGATTTTAAACTGAGAAAGATAACAATAATAGATTACAATACATTGCAAGATTGATAAATGTAAAATTTTTACATATCATAATTATGTTTGTAACTAAAACAGAAGTTACTTGATTAACTTACATGCAAATTAATAATATTTTCTTTAACCTTTTCACAGGGCCAATTCGAAGTATTTTGGCCATTTATTATTTTTGAAAGGACAGAAAAACAAATCGTTCTTGCATTCCTAATCCATATAAGGAGTATTTTAAATCTCCATAGTTTACTGAAATTTCTTGAGACACATTTAAAGTAGTGAACGTGCGGGACATATATGTCCCAGCCCCCTGGAAAAGGTTAACATGTTTTTGATAAACTTAATTTTAACAAATGAATATATATATTTGTGTAATTATCTGAAGATATGAATGCAATATTTGGGACATTAAACATTTATCTTCAAGGAGAATAAGCAAAAATTCAACTTGGAAGTAACTATTGGAAAAGGTAAGTTTTCTACAATATCCCTCCTGGTCTATAACAATTTTAAAATTTAGTATACTCATTAAAATAATCTAAATGTATGATGTTTTCTTTTGCACTACAGTCATTTACTGAATTCGGTAATTAACTATGTTGTACTTTAGATAGAAATTAACATAGATATTCCCCGTATTTTACGGTACAAAAACGTATATATTTGATAGTAATTGACCGAAATCTTCCCATGTTTTCTTTGCATATGTAAATGACTTTGGTAAAAATTTAGTCCAATGTCTGCTTCTCTTTACTGTGTATAAATGCACATTTTCGGTGAAAAATTTGCATGAATCTCCAATTACCTTTTTACTGCATTTTTTGTTAAATGTACTTATTTTAATCTCATATTTTTTTATATAAATCTATGCAAAAATTTTCTGCATGTTATGATTAAAAGATATAATGTCATTTTTATATCCAATTTTTACATATCCGCCTTAAGGTTGGAAACTCAACAATGAAGCGCACGCTCCGCAACCCCCCACCCCGCTAACTGGAATTGGACTTGATCCAAAAAGAAGGAGAAACATTCTCTCCTTGTATGACTCACTTCTTCTAGCGTTATGCAATGGACAGTAAACTACGCTTGTAATCATCGCTAGATATTTTTTTTTTTCTTCTAATACCTAATAAATATGTTATTTTGTGTGTGCTAATAATGATCGTGTTCTTTACATCGGCAGCATGGATTACACTTTATTAAAGTAAGAACTTTAATTCTGTTTTATTCATCTGCTCGTCTCGATTTAGCGATGTTGTAATAGTAAACAAAATGAACCACTCATACCTTCAACAATAGATTATGAGACCGAGAGTATGTTTACTTCAACTAAACGCATAAAATATATCGAGATAAGCTATCAAGAATAAAAATACAAACAGAAAAGATACTTTGCCATAAATTACCGCTGGATAATCCGAAAAAGGAAAAGCCAAGCCTGTCTTCAAAAGCGAAAACAAAACTGCATAGTTGTGTACTGCGCATTCGAAATACAGAAGCAGAAATGGCTACTAGCTGCGAAAATAAATATTCGATCATGAAACTAAACAATAACAACTATCAAGTATGGAAATACAAACTTGAAATGATCCTGAAAAAGGAAAATTTATGGGATTTAATAGCAGATGATACACCAAAAGAAATAAACGTCGAATGGAGAAAACGAGATGAACAAGCACAAGCTACCATTAGTTTACTCGTAGAAGACAACCAAATCGTACACATAAGAAATAAAACGACAGCCAAAGAAATATGGAATGAATTAAAGAAAATACATGAAAGAAAGAATCTTTCCAGTAAACTTTACCTTCTGAGAAAGCTGTATACGTTAAAAGCAGAAAACGAATACAAACTCGAAGAACATGTCAACAAAATGCTCGAAATCGTAGACGAACTGCGAGGAGGTGAAATAAAGGACAGTCACATTGCAGCGCTCTTACTAAGCGGCTTACCAAAAAGCTACGAAAATCTTATTATACAGCTTTAGAAGCACGCCCAGAAGAAGAACTAACGCTGGAATACGTAAAAACGAAACTCATCGACGAATGCCTGAGAAGAAAAGAAGGCACGCGAGCAGAAGAAACAACTGCCTTCAAAACGAATTTTAACACAAAATTCAAGCATTTCAATCAACGAAGATGCAATTATTGCAAAAAAATAGGACACTTAGAAAAAGAGTGCAGATTCTTAAATAACCACAAAGAAAAAGATAAAAACGAAAGTAACTCATTTTTCAAGAATGAAAAGCAAACGAATAAAGGAAATTATGGAAATAAACAGAAAACGAAAGTTGCTGTAAACGAGGATACACATGAAGATGAAAACGAAAATAAGAATCATGAGAAGACTGAGAATTACACGTTCGAAGTCACCAGAGAAAGAAAATCTCAAAACTCAAACTGGTCAGTTGACTCAGGTGCTACTTGTCATATGACCGATAACATAAACTTTTTCACCAAATTGGATAGAAGCAAAACTGAGCAGATAACAATTGCTAACGGCACGCAGATGAAGTCCGAAGGTATAGGAGAAGGATACTTATACTGTACAGACGACGAAGATAACGAAATAGAAGTGAGACTCGTAGATGTTCTGTACGTTCCTGACCTAGAAGGAGGATTGATATCCGTACGAAAAATTACAAAGAAAGGATTCACAGTTGAATTTGAAGAAGATATTTGCAGAATAAAGAAGAAAAATAAAACCATAGGAATTGCTAAAGCAGAAGGAAATTTATATACCGTAGTTGAATCGCAAAGAAGAAAAGCCAAAATTGCAACTGCAGAAAGAAGAGAAAATAGTATAGATCTTTGGCATAGAAGGCTAGGACACAGAAATTATGAAGCAATCAAGAGGCTAAAGAATGATGACCTGGCAACCGGAATAAGAATTGACGGAGAAGCCAAAAAGGAAAAAGAATGCGAATGCTGTATCAGAAGCAAAATGACTGAATTGCCGTATCCCAAGCTAAACAACTATAGAGCAAAATCAGTTCTAGACTTGATACATTCAGATATTTGTGGACCAATCGGTACAACATCACTAGGAGGAAAGAAATACTTCATAACATTCATCGACGATCATTCGAGATACACAACGATCTATCTGCTAGCTACAAAAGATGAAGCTATCTCCAAATTAAAACAATTTGTAACCATGACGAAGAACAAATTTGGAAAGAAGCCAAAAGTCTTAAGAACAGACAATGGAGGAGAATATACAAGCAAAGAGATTGAAGACTATCTAAAGGAAGAGGGAATCGAACATCAAACCTCCGTAGCATATTCACCGCAACAGAACGGTAGAGCAGAAAGAAAAAATCGATACTTAATGGAAATGACAAGATGCCTGCTGCTACTCGATTCAGGACTCAAAAGAGAATTTTGGGGTGAAGCCGTAATGACAGCCACCTATCTACAAAACAGGCTACCATCAAGATCAGTTGAAAAAACACCGTATGAACTATAATAAGAAGCCGAATCTAAGCCATATCAGAGTTTTCGGCAGCACAGCTTATTGTCGAGTTCCAAAGCAGAAAAGAAGCAAACTAGACGAAAGAGCAGAAAAAGGAATTCTTGTTGGATATAGTGACCGTACTAAAGGATATAGAATTTACATGCCACATGCAAACAACGTCGTGATCAGAAGAAGCGTAATATTCGATGAAAACAAAAAAGAAGAAATGCCTTGTCAATTAAATGATCAGCATGAGGAAATA